AAATTCCCAAGTATTTTACCATCAATTTAAGAGGAAAATAAACATTTATTTCAGAAAACACTTTTCAATCTGAAAAATAACTATAGATGCCATGTTAAGAATTTACTTTTCTAATGTATAAATCTCTTTATAGTAAATATATTATAATTCCATTAGCACCACTATTCTCAATCAAAAGAACAGAATTTATGTTTTGCAGAAATTAAGATCTATGAATAGTATGTTTATAAATCCATTTATTAACTGCATGCAGTAAACTGTCAACTTTTTACATTCTATCCCTTGACTCAGAAATTACTTATGTTCTTTTGGCATTTAAGAAGCAAAAATCAGTCAAGCTTTCAGAAAATCATTACAGGCATGCCACACAAGCAATTCAGCCTTAAAAACCTATACTGTCACCCTGGCATAATTTAATTTTAGAAGACCATTGAACTGATAAGCTCAGAATAAGTAGCAGACTATACAGAACATGCTATAGTTGTATATGCCCCAATGGTTTAAGGCAAATGTTTTAGAAACTTAATATGATCAAACAGTTGAGGTCATGTGGGTCAGCCCAAATGACTAATGCATTTAGCTCTTTTGAGTAATGATGGTTATGCCATGATGTCTTTGGCTATTACTTTTATTGTCTATACTATGAGTTCCTTGGTTATTGGTTTCATAATTAATAAGTCACTTAACCTCTCCATGGCCCAGTTTCCTCATCTGTTAAATGAGCATAATGATAATTGCTTCCTACCTTCCTAGGGGTTGCTGGCAAGATTAATGAGTTGGCATTTAGAATGCACTTTGAGTTCTTCTAAAGAGGGAAACTATGCACAAAGGAAAATGAAACAAAGTAATACCTTTTTTGGTACTAAGTAACAAAAGATAAAACTACCTTCCCCAGATGTATTAATTCACTTGCTTACATTCCTAACTCTGTAACCTTCATACACTCCTGAATAAATTGATATTTTAACCCAAGGTTAAAATGAAAATACTACAGAGGGCTACATATTTTGAAGAAACCTTTACAACTCACTAGAGAATAGAAAAAATTTCAAAGTAAACATATATTCTAAACACAGCTAAAATCCTTTATCACAGGTGTTGCATCAATGAATGCAATATTCATTGTTCCAAAAGATAACTATATAGAATTTGGTTAAAAAAAAAGTGAGTTGCTGCTTTAAAGGAAACCTAACTATGTAACACTGATAGTAGATGGATGGAGTGAGGAATTAAGCTCAGGTTTCTCTGATTCCAGTTTCCTTCTCTCTTAACTATTCTAAATTGTAGACTATATGTTCAGAAGTATTAAGTGATTTACATTAGATATTTGATACTACTTAAATGTCCTTTCAACATGTGGCAGAATTTCTTTAATAACTATAAAAGTGGACACCTATTTCCTGTGATATCTTTAGGAAAGACAGACTATATTAATATGTGTAACAAAACCAGAGATTTCAGGGAGACCAAACCCAGAGAGAAAATTTGTAGAAATTGAAAAACCTGAGTCACAAGTTGCACAGAAGCAAGGTAATTTCAGCATCATTTTGTAAAACACATGATTCACTTTGAAAATATAGGGATTCTCAGAAGAGACCATAATACCTACAGGCTATAGCTGAGTTATTTTTGAGTTGATAATCTACATGCATTGATTCTCCTAATCTTTATACTCCAAGGAGAAAAGAATGTGCTAGTTGCTTGGTAACATTCTGTATTGTGTTGGGGTGAGGTTTCAGTTTGGCTGCACCAAGCTCCTAGATTCTGAGAAGAATGTTTTAACTCCTAGTTTATTGTTTTTCAATAAGATCCCTGGGCCCTCATCTATTTTATTATCTAAATATGACTATGATCATACTGGCAATGTCATATAGCTCTCTATTGTTTTACATGAGATTACAATGAAGAACCACCGTCTGCTCAATTTTGAGTTATTTTCCCAGTTATTGCTTTACATTTATCCCTGGAGAGAGTGTGTGGCGTGTAATGGATATAGGGGAGATGAATGAAATCTTCTTGACAACAGTATACAAGTAAGGTCAACGAACGAAGTCAAGCATGTTCTTTGGAAAAAGAATTATTCTGTGTTGTAGAATGACTGTGTAACTCTGTTTTTGCAATACTGAAGACTCACCTCTCCTCTAAGCCCGGATATCTTGAGCCAGCTCTTGCTTGTAGTAATACAACTTTAATTATTTAAAATAATTTTTGGAACTGAGCTGTTCCAGAACAATTAGCTAACAGCGGGGTCTTATTCAATTAGTAAAAACAGGATGGAAATTCCTTTAGAAAGTCAATGCCTTAAGGGTGCTTCCTAGAGTGTTTGTATGCATTGCTGTTAATTAAGAAATAAAATAATGGTATCAGATGTAAATTGACTACACACAATAGTCTCTGATTCATTGTAGAATTTCAAAATGAGTGTGCAATTGCTTCAATTCCAGATTGGTAGGGATTTTTTAAAATTCATACTAATAGCTGATATAGAAAGTGAAGTGTTCATCTCTCAGACATGTTCCACTCTTTGGGACACCATGGACTGTATCTGCCAGGCTTTTCTATCCATGGAGTTCTCCTGACAAGAATATTGAGTGGGTTGCCATTACCTTTTCCAGGGGATCTTTCCAACCCAGGGATCGAACCCCGGTCTCTGGCATTGCAGGCATATTCTTTACCATCTGAGCCACCAGGAAAGGAGCTTTCATATGAAAAATAATTTCATACCAATAGCTGGTATAAGCATATAGTTGTAACAAGCCAAAATATGTAGCTGAAATTAGTATCATCTAGGGATACACTAAAATAACTAAGGAAAAAAAATCAACATTTACTGAATACTGTATCCTTTCAAATATTGATGCCTTTTCAAGTTTCAATAGTACGATGTCAGCATGTGATAAAACTAACAACATAATTGTCACCTTAGTGATTATCAGTGTGTGGTTTTTATTGTGACTATCGCACATTCCCAAAGGCTTCAATTTTACAGAAAGAAAGTCTGTGCTGCTAGAAACAGAAAGTTGTTTCACATCAATTTTCTCTGGGTGCTAGAGGCACTCCCATGTGTGAGCAAGGAAAACGAGAGATGAAAGACTAAGAAGAAAAGTGAGCAGCAAAGAAAAGTGAAGTTAGGTAAAATGACACTGCCAGAGAGCAACTGAACTAAAACAACAATAGCAACAAAAAGCATAGCAGAAGACTAGAAAGATTGTAAAGAAAAGAAAGGGAGAAATAAGCTCAAAGATGGGGAAAAGGTGAAAATTTTCAAACAGTGATTTTTCCAGAGGTGCAATTGCTATAATACACAAGAGCTTTGAAACAGGGTATGTGAGTAATCTAGAAAATAAAAGCAAAATCTGAAGTATTTGTGAAGCTAAAATAATTACTTCTAGTATCAGACCACTTGCATTAGTATTTTATATGCATTATTGCACAAACTCAACTTCAAAAGTCCATTGAATACTATGATAATTTAAATGCACCACATATTCACTCTCTACAAATTACTGACACTGATAACATACATTTATAATTGTCAACAGCTAGTCTCTTTTTTTTAATTAAAAAAAGGTTTTAATAAAAAAAATCTCTATTAAAATTTAATACTCAGGAAAAATGATCAATTGCAATTACTATAATCAAATAGCACCATATTATCTCAATGACTTGCTCATATTTGATTATTCAATAAATTTGATTAAATGATAATAATTTTCCAATTAAATGTAAAATATGCATGTAATCTTTAAGCTAGCCATTAAAATATTCTCTTTGAAAGCAATTTAATTTTAAGAATTACGTGGATTTGACTAAAACATTCAATCGATCTCATTCTTTAGACATTTGGTGATCTCCAGAACCCCCAAAAAAGCTGATTTAATTTGGTAAGAATTTTTACAGAGAAAATTATATAATTATTTGGCAAGTTAAGTCATATAAAATCCTGTTATATGATCACTGATCCTGTCTCCAACAAACTGTGTGTCTTAAAAGTGAGAATTATATATTATTTGCTTTAGAATACCCAATGTGTAGCACAATTTCTGGTACTTGGTAGGTGCTTACTGGAGGTTTGTTGAAATAATTTTTATAGTTTGAGTCAATTATTTTTCACAGAGAAAAACAATCTACCACTTCTGCCCACTTGAACTGCCAATTGCATTTGTGTGAACAATGAAGGAAAATACCAAGGCTTAAAAATTTGCTAAACTATAAACAATATAAAAATACTCAGTAAAATAGAAGATAAATTAAGACATGATACTGAGTCCCTAAAGTGGAATCTCCTCGTTGGCACTACTCTGACCCAATGAGATCAGTGGAAGTAAGGAGACAATCTGAATATTAAAAAGGAGGACAAGATGCTATGCGCCTGGAATTTGGTGCCACCATAATTTCCATTTAAATGTTTAACACACTTCCCCACTGGAAACCACTGCATGCCAATGGGGTAGCCCATTTTGATATTCTATGCCTTCCAGAATATTAGATGGATGATTGTCCAGTGAATAGGAAACTGTTTGTGCTTATTTTCCTTGTTTTTCTGTAGGCTCTCAACAAGTGAAACCTCTTCCATCTTAACAGAAAGAAATGCCTGTATGGAAAACATTCTTACATGTAATCATTTTATTCTTCTGGAATATCCACACCTTGTAGAATCTGACTTTCCCATTATTCAATTTTCAATAGATATATCACTTTATCTATTTACATTCAATGACAAAACCTTGGTGGGGAAAATAATGTTCCTTCTGAACAGATTTTCCTTCAAACAAAGACGAAATACGTATAAAGCAACAACTCCTTGCCATTTGCAAGTATTAAAATGATTTGCTTTGATAACCATATATTTAGTTGAATATGTCTCCATCCCATGAGAAATATGCTATTGATTATTCTCTACAAATAACAATGTTCCTATGCTCTTACATACATTAACACGGAAAGGTTTGTATTCTGTCATTATGATACATAAATTTTAGATAAGCAGTAGGACTTACCTTGAAAAAAGTCATGGTTGCACCATCCTCTACTGCTCCATACTCTATCTTGGTTTGTTTAGCTAAATCATCAGCAGAGTCAATAGGGGATTCCATGCGTTCCACTGTCAGAAAGGCGGCTAAGTTAGCAGTATACGAAGAAATGATGATAAGTGTGAAAAACCACCAAATGCCTCCCACTATCCTGGTGGAGAGCGCTTTGGGCATGAGCTCAGAACCTAACGAAGATTGGGGGGGAAAGGTGAGATGAATACAGAGAATTTGATCAGCAGTCAGGTACTTTTGGTCACAGTGGAAGAATGGAATCACTGTGTAATAAAAGCTTAAATCATAGATTAACATATCACTTTAGTAAGCAAGGAACAACCACTGGGAAAGCAGAGGCTAATTTCAGATAGCATGTCTCTTAGGACATCTGTGTTTACATATAGTGACAGGAGACTAGAGCTCTACCTGAGACAGTACAAAATAAGAATCACATATTAATGACATACAACCTTTACAAAAATAGCATTAGAATCGAGAAATATCTCTCCTGTTTATAAACTACTTTTATAGATTTTCATATTCTTGTTAGTTAAGTAGGTTTTAGAAGAAATGACTTAATGTACATTTTGATCCATTTCTTAACAAGCTTTATTTATGTGGTTTCATTACTCATGTGCATGAAGCTCAAAAATCTTGTCCATACTGACATTTTAAAAAGTAATGTATGAATATAATTTCACTTATCCACATTTTTTGAGCCAGGGGGCTTCAGTCCAGTGTTTATTTTAAAATAGGTAGTAAACTATTTTTTATGCATAAACAAATGTCTCCTGTCACTATAGTTAGCTTCAGTGAGGGAAATCAGAATAAGAATAAATAAATTGGCATAAATTTATTTTTACACACATATACAAATTTCATAGTAATAGCACAATACGTGGCTGGAGTTGCCTGCTCATGGTATTAATAAGAGAATGAGATCTGATCATTACATTTTGCTTTTGATTATTATTAATTTTAATTAATTTAGATTATACATTAAAATTCTAACACTTTTTAAATTGTCTTTTAGTTCTACCATGTTATTTACAGCCTTAATATGTAAATGTATAAATATCACATGCATAACTTTTTTAATAAGAAAATTATACAAAATTTATGTATATATATTACTATTTACCCTTCATCATTTTGAACCTATAATCAAGAAAGCATTGTCTACAAGGAAATTAATTTTAATAAGGTTTGAGTAAAATGGAATGAAGCAAAGATGGACTCCATGTTTTATATATTTTTAAATATAATAACGAATACAGTAAGATAACATATCTCTTTATGCATTAAACATACAACAAATTATTCATGCTACCATCGAAAAGAAGTAGTACCATAACTTGGTTCTAGCAAAACAGCCCATCTTATACTGCAGTTCATCTTACCCTTCCAATTTCAAACAAACAAACAACATTTTAGAAAGCAGACAGACTTGGACATGACAGCCAACTCCAGCTCCAGACTCTTGCCTACCACTCTGTAAGAAAAACAAAACAAAATAAAACAGAAAAGTACCTTTCTGATGGAGTTGCTCCTAGGCCCTGTCAGACACACACTTGGACACCAAAACACTAAAATAGTCCCACCATGGTCAGCAGCTTTGGCTGCCCAGTCTACCATTTCTTTTCTTTTCTTTTTTTTTTGAACAACAACACCAATAAAGTCAAACAAGACTGGGAAAGAAAAGAACAGTGGAGACATTCGACAAAAATGGCCCAATTACCACAAGTTCATATCTTACCCAAGAACTTAAAGTGAATACCTCCTAGGCTTGTGAATCAGAGCCTGGTTAGGGGCTGACTGTCATGTACTCAAGGTAACGTCATGTCCAGCACTATATCCCACTAATTCCTGGGGAGCTGGGCATCAGCCAGAATAGTATGGGTTCCTCTTTCATGTATCCACCAGCAGTGAAGTAGTTATGTGGCAAAGCAAATGTACATTTGAATTTTGCATTGCTTGGATTGCTTGTCATCATTTTAGAGATATTAGATATAATTTTATTTCTAATTGCTAGATTTTATAAATATCAAGTTCATCTCACCAATACTGAAATTCAAAAACATCCAAATATTTCATAAATTATACATAAAAATAATATCCTATTTTTCAAAGTGGTAGGAAAAATAATTTTAAAAACTTTATTATGGTTAGATATTTATGATGAGAATAATTTGTTCCAGGCTATCAAAGTTAGTTATTAGCAGGTTACTGGCAATGTTCCTGGGTAAATCACATAATCCAGTGCTACTTGGAAGAGACGCATGTCTCATATGACATATTTTTATTCACTTTTATATTTTAAAAGAACTCCATTATCATCCAACTGTAAATAAATCTAAGGGGGGTAAAAAGCCACTGGACCCAAAATGTACAAAAGGGCAAATACAATTATTGATTATTCATTTTATTTAGAAAGAGATGCCACAATCTTAATTAGCTTATGTAAGAGTTCTCTGAACTTTCAAGTTTCAGATTTAAATACCTAAAAGGCTATATATCTGGATGTTCATATTTTTAAAAGCAAAAATTATCTCATTAGTAGGATTGCTTGCAACATGAATTTAAGTTAATTTTTTCCTTTTAATATGTAAGTATTTACTTTTAGTTTAGGAAGTAGTTTATAAATGAAACAGAAATAATGGATTTATGCATAATATTAAACATGCAAAAGCAAAGTACCTATTTTATTAACAACAATTTATAACTTAACAATAAATTTTCTCTTCTTCAGTTCTGTAATGAAATTGCCAAATGAATTTCTTCAATGTGGATCATAAATACACCAGTAAAATTTAAGGTAAACCCTTATATGGGTGTGGTAACTCTTATAAATAAGTATGTTTTCTTTCCTTAATCCAGTCACTGTCAGTTGCTAAAGGGCATTTTGATTTATTTACAAAATTTTAAAACTTAAAAATATTACATTTTAAATGCATAAAATAGTCTGGTTTTGAAATCCTTTATATTGAGTAGCAGGTCTGACATATTAATTTACTGAACTTTATATAAATATTAAAAGATTAATAAAAGAAATCACAGCAGCAAAAATAAAAAAATCAGCTTGGGAGAACTGAGACTAAAATAATAAATTCATAGTTATAAATATACCATTAAAACATATTGCATGTATTATGTCATTTTCTAAGAAATGTAGCCTTTACTTTTAACATCAATATTATAATTTTAAAATAATTATGAAAGAGTATTTTTGCATGCACTTCTCAGCATGCAATACTTTATATTCTTATATACTATCAGATGCAGCTAATATTTTACTTGTAAAGGTAACTCTAAATGGTTAAATATTTTATTTTTACAAATTTATATGCAGTAGATTTACTAATCATGCAATATAAAGGCATCTAGTCATCAAGAATTGATAGGAAAGGGAATTTTTTACATCAAAATGAAACAGGAAACAGGAGCAATACACTGTATTCTTGTCTCAAGAAGATGCAATCTTAATAGTGCTTTAAACGCAGCTTCTAGCTAATGGATCAGGTTAGCTTGGTTATCTATGAGATAATGTATCTACTGTAGGTTAAGAAAGTTAGATGATTTACTCTATGTGCAATTGCAAAAGCTAATTATTTTCTCAGAATCTCCCTTGGATGGGATTTGAGAATGCCTAAATGCATCAGAAAGATGGAGAAGCTGGATTATGGTTACATGCAGAGAGGCACCCATGCAAGCGACTTGTGCCAGCAAGAGCTGTCACCCCCAGCAAAGAGTGGGACATGGTGCCCAAGGGAAATAGCAGGCTGAATCGTATACCTTGCTGCATGAGAGCTCCAACTCCAAACCAGAAACTATTTAGCAAGGTGAAATTGTTTTCCACCACGTCTGAGTCAGGATTGCAAGGGTGTGGGTTATACCACTCATAGGGACTAAACCTGTGGTAATTGACAGAAAAAAGAATATATTTAAATGGCAGTAAGAAGACATTCTATCCAGTATTTTTGCTGCAAAAGAAACAGAAAGACAGGTAAGATTAAGCAGAAACCAGAAATCAGCACTTTTATAGTACAATTTCATATTCATGACAGCAAGTTCTAGATTTTAAAGATACCTGTCCTTATCAGCTGATTACATACTAAGATGATTAGTAGCATTTCTTTACCATATATGACATAAGAGAAAAATCTGTGTATCAGTAAAGAAAGATTTTTAAGATGCAGGCTTTTCAAGAGCAGGATTAACAAATTTTTTTTAAAGACTAGAAATTCATTAAAGAAGAAAATAAACAAGTATGAAATAAACATTTTTAAAACTGTGGAAAATTGTTAAAGACAGAAGAAATCATACAAAATCACTTTGAGAATTTTTTATGATATAATAGAGACTACCAAAGTGAAAGAGATTAAATAATCAGTGAATAATTATTTTTATATAAGAATACAGTACCATGGATTTATATCTTAATGTGTGACAAACTCATATCCAAACAGAAAACCAAATCAGAATGAGCTACACTCTGATATATGCTTCTGACTTCATTATATGTTTCAGAGAGGCTGGCAATATGCAAGATATCAAAGCAGTGTGAGAAGCAGGAATGCATATGGAGACTGGTATCCACATATTATTTGTTTTCAAATCTACAATTAGTTTGAATCACTGTTTTAAGACAAAGAAAATTACTCTAATTTTTGAGGCCAATTATAGATGGTTTTAGAAATATAAACAAAATCTCTTAAAAAATTTAAACCAAGAACTTCATAAATTGTCATGTGTACACATTATTTATCCTAGTTATAATCCAGATATATTTTTCAATTAATGGTACTATCAAAAATAAACTAACAAAATATTTTCCCTAATATCTCAAATTTTAAAGCCACTCTTTTACAAATCAAAATTAGTGTGTGTGCCCTTTATGAAAGCATTAAAAAATCTTGCATTCTATCAAAGTTATTTGAATAATGTATAATGTATCTGTCACTTCAGAAAGCCCAATTTTCTTCACAATAATCTTTCTGACATATTAAAATTCAGAAGATCAAACAAACCATTTACATCTTCCTAATGCAATGTTTAGAACACCCTTGTTTTAATAGCCTGTCCTTGACAAATGAAGGAATGTTTTGTTTGGTTCTCTAAGTTAGACTTTCATACTGAACAGAAAGGTTGATTGGATAGTAATTAAACATTCTGATCTGATTTGTTATGTTTGACTGAAGTAGAACTAGCTTTGGTGGTAAACATTTTATTTTTATTTAAATTCCTTTATTACTTTTACCCTAGTAAAAATAGTTACATACCTTTTTTTTTAGTTATATACATTTTTAAAAGTACTTCAAAGTATTAGAATGTTGGTCATCAAACTTTATCTAAGACTGTCTTTTTTAAAAAGCAAAATATTATTAATTTTCAATTAACTATCTATAAACAATAGATACTATAGTAACTATATATATATATATACACACACACACACAGAGTAACAATATAGTAACAATAGGTACTATAAATCTAGTAACCAGATCACAGGCTCTGCAACTGAACCATGCATCTCCATGGCCTTGGACAAGTTATATAAACTCTTTTTAAATAATAAATATTTTAAAATGCGACTTTGCCTGTAGTTACATGTTCTGACTCCTATTCTGATTCCTGGATAATTAAACTTTTCTTTTCCTACTGTTGACAGTATATCAGCTATAAACATAAAGGTGGTCTGTAAAAGCTGAATTTAGTTTTTGTGCATAACAAATCCTAAAAACATAACCACAGAGAGTGAGCATGTAAAACCTGGCTAATCAAGATCTCTGGTTTTCACACAGAATCCCATGAGCCCTTGAGTTTTATAAGTGCTTCAAGGGATTCCATGGAATGGGAGAGGGAGATGTAGTTTTGGGGGTTGCAGAAATGGAAGTATAAATATGGAGTATTCTGCCCTTCCTCTCCACATGTGTATGTATTTATGCATGTACATATAAAAATATACATATATTTTTTATTCTGAGAAGGTAGGAAAGGAAGGAAGGAAGACAGGGAAAGAGAAATGAGGAAAGTGGAAGGGGAAATGGCAAAAGTATGGAGGAAGAATCTGGAAATACACTGGTTTCAAGAGACTAATAACTACTGCAGTGAGTGACTCTTACATAATTTAATTGAAAGAAAGGAAAAAATGTATGACAAACTAATACTTAAATTCAAATTATGTACACCTTTCACCTTCTCCACTCTGTCTGCTTTTTACTTTCGCATGAAGATCTCCAGTGGCCCCAAAAGAGGTAGAATTAGCCTAACAAAAATTCTATCTAACTTGAATTTGCCATTTGTTCTTCATGGTGACACTCAGAAAGCTTTTCTTCTGTCTCCATTTGATGCAGTAACATTCTTCTAATGGTGTGATATAAGTTAACCTTCAACACACACACACACACACACACACACACACACACTTCACTGGCACTCACACTGAAGTCAACACAGCTCTGATTATAGTTCCAGTCTGTTTTGTTTTGTTTTTTTTCCTAAGCTGAATTACCTCTCCCATCTAAGATTAACTGCTATGCTTAACACTTTCCTTTGTGTTTCCAACAGATCTTGAGTCAATATGGATTGATTATTTCTTCCTTCTAATTCTTCTGACTCACCATTTTTAAAAACTCTATTAACTTCCACACTTTTTTCTGCCCATCAGAAAAATTTCAATCACCTCAAATCTATATTTAATCCTAATCACTTCCTAGATCTAAAGTGAATTTCCAGTGGCCAGATAATAGACTTTTCAATGCTAATATGTTCAATACGAACAAACAATCTTTCTCCCCTAATCCTTCCCTTTTATTGTCTTCTCCATCTCTGTCAATAGCATCACCTGCTGACATTCCCAAATCAGGTGACAAAGGTCCTGCTCTTAGTCCTTAGTTCGCTTATCCTGAACACTTTAGAGTCAACTTCAGTTCTTTACATTCCTTTTCTCCTAACACTGACCTCCAAACAGTTGTCAATTTATATCAGTTTACCTACAGAAAGACTTTCATTTCCTCCTCTCCTCCTTCCCTGTTTATTTTCATTGGCATTAATGCCAGTTCAGGTTGTCATATTCTGTAGCTATAGTCTCCAAGACGGTCTTTCCACTTTGCATTCCAAATATAAAAGCTCTAAATATTGTTTCCCAGTTTATTTTCATGTAGAATAATTTTTAAAATGATACAACCCTATTAAAAACAAAATTTCAATCATGTCTACAGCCTACATATAAAATACCCAGACATTTAAGCATGGAATTTAAGATCCTCTGCATTGTGCTCCGTAATACCATTCAGGATTATGTTCTATTGCTTTTTTTCCTACTCACCAGCCTCTGGCCACTTTCCCCCCAAAATCCTATATTGATTCTTACCATTTCTTTGATCCTGTCCTTTAACCTGTAATACCCTCTCAACTCCCTCCATTATTCAAATCCTACACCCACCCTTCAATTCCAACTCACTGCCATCATGTAGTTTTACTTTTCCTGATCTTTTCTTGGACTAAGTATCTAAGGTAGAGACTGGTAACTACCCCTAAGTATTCATTGTTCTGCCTGAGTTTTACTAGGAACATTGATGCCCACCTAATACAACTATACTTTCTTCCCTTGAATGTAACTAAATATGAGCCTTTGCAATATGAACAGATGTGATGTGTTTAACTTCTGATAATTGTTTTTAAGGATATTTGCCTTGGACTCTCTTTGTCTTCTTCATCTTTTAGGAAATGGTGATGACTACAGATTTTTAGAAGCCCTGGGCTGAGGATGACAGAGACGCCTCATGATCCTTATACTACACACCTCTTGGTTGCAGAGTAGAAGAAATAAATGCTTTTTGAATCAAGCACTGTATTTTTGGCTATCTTTGTTAAAGAAGCATAATCAGTATTTGAATGACTCAGGTACTCTGCTCATTTTTACAGATCTATAGTTCTAAAAACTTCAAGTTACATTTATGATAGCCTGGTTTCTTCATTATAATTTAATACACATATCTCCCCTCTTTTATTAATTGTGAATGAGTACATGCAAATGCAGTGTCTGATTAATCTTGTGTCTCCTACAATTTCTAGCACAAGGTGTTAAACCTAGTGGTCATCTAAAGCATATTTGAATTATTCTGATGATCTTTTAACCTCTCTTCTCTTTCCTTTTCAATTTATGGCTATACATCTAAAATTATAATCCTATTTCTCTACACCTAATATCTCCTTCACCCTATGCTTCCATCTATGTAAAAGTCTTTTTGAATGCATCATCTTCTTCCTTAAGACTATCACTTAATCATTTTGCAGCTTCTAATGAAATTCTCACTGAATGCCAGCCCTTTGATATCGTCTCTTTTAACTTCTGTGATGTGTTCTCCTGATTATTTGCTCTCTGCTCCACTAACAGGAGATCCCTTTTGGCTAAATCATGGCTCTCAGATCTTTCCTCCCTCTTTAATGACTTAACACACTTGCTGCTTGAACTCCTGTGCTGATAATTACAAAATCCTCTTAATTTATAGCCATAAATTTTCTCTCAAAGCATTTCCATCCATTTTTGTATATTTCAACTTCGACAGCTCACATTACCTTATACTTAAAATGCCTAAAACTAAAACCAAAAACGTCTACCAAACTCTCCTTCAAATTTTTTTTTAGCTCTATATGATGCAGCACTTCTCTGAGTTGAGATTAAAAGCTTATTTCCATTTTATTTTAATCTATCTACTTTCTTAAATACAAACAAATGTGATACACTTAAGCTGTATCAACTTTTGCTTTATAATGCCTCTTTGTTTTATTCCATCCATACACTTTCATCTCAGTTCTGAGTAGATGGTTTTAGGACTCAGTTCCTACTTGTTTCCTATTTTCTTTATTTTGTTCTGCAAACTGTCTTCATATTAAGTTTTGCACCATG